AGCATTTGATAAAATACAACATCCTTTCATGATGAAAACCTTAAGCAAACTGGGTGTAGAAGGAACATTCCTCAATACGATCCAAGGCAATTTATGACAAACCCATAGCCAGCATCTTATTGAATGGAAGCATTCCCACTTAGATCCAGAACCAGACAAGAATGCCCACTCTCACTATTACTACTTAATACAGTCCTTGAAGTTTTAGCCAGAGCCATTAGGCAAGAAAAAGAATTTAAAGGGAAACAAATTGGAAAGGAAGAAGTCAAACTATCCCTATTTGCAGATGGCGTGATTCTATAGATAGGGAACCAAAAGATTCCACTAAGAAACTACCGGATTTCATAAACGAGTTTGGTAAAGTGGCAGGATATAAAATTAATTATAAATAATTAAATATAAAATTACACAAAAATCAATAGCCTTTGTATACACAAACAATGCCATGGCTAAGAAAGAACTTCTAAGATCAATCCCGTTCACAATAGCTACAAAAAATTAAATATTACCTCAGAATAATTTTATCCAAGGATGTCAAAGATCTCTACAATGGAAATTACAAAACTTTAAAGTAAGAAATAGAAGAAAACACATAAATGGAAAAATCTTCCATGATGGTGGGTTGGAAGAATTAATATAATCAAAATGTCCATACTACCAAATTCAGAGGCATCACAATACCAGATTTCAAGACACACTACAGGGCAGTTTTAATAATTAAAAAAGCCTGGTACTGGCACAAAAACAGATGGGTAGACCAAAAGAACAGAACAGAAACTCCAGAAATCAATCCACACATCTACAACCAACGTATCCTTGAAAAGGAGCTAAAATCAATCGCTGGAGTAAGGACAGTCTCTTCAACAAAGGAACCTAACTGATATCTAAAGAACTTTTCATCCAACAGTTGCAAAATACACATTCTTCTCATGAGTGCATGGAACGTTGTCTAGGATAGACTATATGCTAAGCCAAAAAGTATGAAGCATGTGCCAAAGTATCAAGCTAGACTCCTACTTTACACCTTACATAAAAATCCACTCAAAATGGATCAATGACCTATATCTATGATGTATTACTATGAAATTACTTGAGAACACTGGGGAAGATCTGCAAGACATTGGCATAGGCAAAGACATCTTTAAAAAAGACCACAGAAGCACAGGCATTCAAAGCCAAAATTGACAAATAGTATTACATCAAGCTGAGGTGCTTCTGCACTGCTCAAGAAACACTCAGCAAAGTAAAGAGGCAACTGACAGGATGTGTGAAAATATTTGCAAACTACAAAACTGACAAAGGATTAATATCCAGAACCTATAAAGAGCTCACAAACTCAACAAGAACAAAACAAACAATACAGTTAAGAAATGGTCAAAGGACTTGAGTAGACAGTTTTCAAGAGAGGAAATACAAATGACCAACAGACACATGAAGAAACGCTCAGGAGCACTAGCCATCAAGGAAATGCAAATCCAAACCACAATGAGCTTTCACCTCAACCCAGCTAGAATGGCTGTCATACAGAAGTCAACCAACAATAAATGCTGGCATGCATGTGGGGAAAAGAGTACTCTATTCCACTGTGGGTGGGAATGTAAACTGGTACAGCCGCTGTGGAAGTGGAGATACCTCAGAAAGCTGAAAATAAATCTACCATATGACCCAGCAAGCCCACATTTGGGAATTGTCTTAAGGACATAAAATCAGCACATGAAAAAGTTATCTGTGCCCCCTTGTTCACTGCAGCACAATTCACAATAGCTAAGATATGGAATCAACCCAGATGTCCATCAGCTGAAGACTGCATAAAGAAACTTAGGCATACTACTCAGCAGTAAAAAATAAATAAATAAATAAATAAATAAATAAATAAAATCATGTATTTTGCAACAAAATGGCTGCATCTGGAAACTATTATACTTAGTGAAATAAGCCAGTTCTATAAAGACCAGGTACTATATATTTTCCACCTCCTTATCTATGTGTGATTGACAGAGTATCTAAAATGTAATGTTTAGGAGTGATAATGAAATTCTGAGATTCCATGATTGTTACAGCCCTTGTCTCTACTGTTGAGGATTTGTTATGTTCTTCCCTCATACTCTTTGTTGAACTCTTTACTTAGTGTAGGGTTAATCTTATGAGTATAAAGTAAACTTAAAATAGATCTTTGTAAAAATTAAGAGTGAGACTAAGAGAGAGTAGAGGAAGAAGGTTGGGAACATGGGCAGGAGGTAGGGTAGGATGGGAAGAATCATCACTATGTTCCTAAATCTGTATATGTGGAATACATGAAATTGGCATACCTTAAAGAAAAATTTAAACAAAGAAAGAAGCTATGGAATTTAGACTACATCTTGGGGTTAACGGGAAGGTGCTGAAGGGATTACAGAGGGATAATGATTTGTCCTTCAGAGAGAAATTTTTTGATCAACAATGGGTAATGAGAAGGGATAGGGAGCAAATCCTGGGAGTCACAAAATACACTGTGCAGCCTGAGCAGCATCCATTTCTTCTAGGAACAAAGAGGAGGAGGAGACACGTTATAGCCATGGCTGTTTTAATTACCTCCTATTCGTTTTATTAGAGAGGAAGCGGTTCCTGCTTTAGGCTGTGGCTGTGCAGACCACAAACATGGAACAATTGACACTGGACAGATGACGCTGACAACAACTTATTAATCAAATATACTCAGAGTATAGAAGAAGAGAGCACTGTATGCCACGCAAGGTATCATGGAAGCTGCCACTGGGAACAGACTGAAGAAGCAAGGGCTGTGTCAGGCAGGCTTTAGAGTATCAAGAAGCTGGGGTGACTCCTGGTTAGCATAAGACGTGATTGGCTTCTTTGCAGGTTTTTGCGGGCTTGCAGAGAACTAGATTTCTCTACTTAAGGATAAATAGGAACTGTGCACGCTTCTATTGACAAGAAATGTTATTTGGCTGGAGGACCTTCTCTGCAGAACAGAGTGGAGAGGGGACATATGCCCAGGCCATTTGAAGTTGTCTCAATTTGACCAGACTGCTGGTGATCTGTGCAGCAGCTTTTGCAGGGTGAAGACGGTATGGTGTGCAATGAATAAAAACAAAGATTATTTAAAGAATGGGGGGACAGAAGGAATCTCTCTGCGAGCAGAGGAGGAACATCTCTGCCTTTCCCAGTGGCTTTTCTTTCCTCCAGATGACACTGTCTCACTGTGTCATCAAGTGGATATTTTTCAGAAATGAAGCTGACGCAGGAGGCAGCTGGGGTCTGGGAGAAACAGCAAGAAAAAGGAAAATTCAGAAAGAGTCAGAAAAAGCTAAAGCTGCTTTAGTTGCTTGAACTGAAATGGTTTGTTTTACTTGCTAAAGATACCAGCTTGAAAAGTAGCTAGCTTACAGACTACCTGCCTGCATGCAGGAGATAAAGACCAGTCCAGGCCACATCCAAGGAGAGAGCAGCTGAAGCTCATCTTGAAAAAGACATGAGGCATTGTATCAGAGAACTTTCAGCTTGGGCCTCCCTGACAACATCTCTCCACCCCCATCTTCTGCCACAAGTTACCTGACAGTGACCCTCCTCCCTCTCTAAACTGGCTATAAATTAAGAATCCAAATTAAATTTGCACTCCAAATTCTTCCCACAGCCAGGCTCTTACAGTTTTTTGGCTTTATAGCCCTGAACTCTTCTCAGAGGCCTGCTTCCATTCTCTTTGTGGAATATATTTTGCTTGATATAGTACATCTTTGTTGCCTACGCTTGCTACCTCTGTGAGTTGCATTCAACTCATCGTATGAGGCTTTGAAAAACTTGCCCTCCATGCCTACAACAGACCTATTGCACTGAAACATTTACTGTACGACTAGAAGTATTGTTTAGTGAGCATATTATCTCAAATGGTGTTGAAGTTTCTAGAAGTTTAATTAAATGGTGTTAAAACCACTTTTTACCAAATTTTGAAAATTGTTGTAGTAATTAGCATGCATTTGCTGTGGCCCTGAGTATCTAATGTATTAATAAATTCCTTTTAAAAAAGAAGCAGAAGAATAAATGATATATAATTTTGTGTTATAACATATTATTAAAACTATTCTTTCTAGGATTGTGGGATTTCACGTCTCTTTCTTTCCTTTTTTGTTCTCTTACTCTCTCTCCTTTTCTCTCTGGTCTCTGGTGATCAAAAATATAATTTCAAATTAAAATACTCAGATAACTGACTATAACCAAATTATCTCCCAGAGGAGTAGGAGGAAATTTCAATGAGGAAAGTAAATTATAAATTTTAGACATTACTGTGCAAACCTAAAATGATGCTACTGGAAATGTTAATAATTTACCAAGAGTCAGAGTATACATCATCGATTTTCTTTCTCTTGTCAACAATTTACTCATTGACCCAATACACTTTTAAGGACTGATCTAACAGACATTATGATAATTAATCTAACTATAATCTTACTTGAGTTAGAAGGTTATGTGGTAGATTTCACACTGGAAAATTCCAAGTTATTAGAAGGTGATGTCAGTTTTAGTTCTGCTGATGTAATTTAGTGTAATGGCCACACCTTGTTCTAAGATAAAGGAATGTCTCCAAACGTAGGATGACTGACGCAGGTATACAAAATAGTTTGAGGGTGAGAAAAGAGAGAAAACACAAAAAGGGCAAGGACAGAAGAATGGGGAAATAGAGGAAAGGTGGAGAGGGTGAATCTGAGCCAAGGGAGAAAATTCCGTGGAGGTGGGTGGGGTAAGAGGTGGAGCTGGGACCAGTGACGCAAGAACTCAGTGGCAGCCCAGGGGATATAAAAGCCTGGTGGAGTCAGGTAGAAGCAGCATCCTGGAGCCCAGGGTAAGCACCCAGGCCCACTTCAGTCGGCGAAAGCACAGGCGGCTGCCAAAGACAGCAGAGAAACCCGGAGCAGAAGAGACCAGCCGAGGATGCCTGCCCTCTTGTTCTGCCTTCTAGGATTCTGTCTCCTCCAGGGCCAAGTTACCGGAAGAGTCACGTATGAATGGATGATGGAGAATGTTAAGATATGCCGTAATGATTTTGTCAGAACCGCGATCGAAGTCTGTGGCCATGTCCACTTGGAAAGAGAGTCTCCGAGTCCAGAAAACCCCTTTCTGAGTTCTGGACCAGCTGCAGGTGAGTACTTCTATCCTTCGACAATTCTGCCTAGAAAAAGGAGCCTGGTTTTCTCTGATCAGCAGCAATTGGGTATTTACACTTAGATTTACATCTCCTGGCTTCTTTGCTTCCATTATTTCAAAATTAACACCTTATTAAACAAGCTGAAGGACAGTTTTGCTGTCCATGAAGAAGAGCAGCATGCTCTGATTCACGTTTGTTAACTACTATTTTAGCTTTACCAGAATTTCTCATTTCCTTGGGCTAAAACTGTCAAATTAAATAATTGAGATAGGTAAGGTTAGGAGATTTATACAACAGAAAGATTTTGAAGCAGATGTTTTCTTTTTATATTATATATATATCCTATATATAAACATATATGATATTATATATATATATACACTCACACACACACATATTTACTTTCTCCCTGGCCGTACCAGCAACATGGAAACAGTCCATGAAACTTTAACTAAAATGAATGGTTATAAAGAAGAAGGAAGTTGTTAGCTAGTTGCACCACGATCCCAGCCCAAGTTTCAAAGTTTGCATCTGGCCAGCATATTGCATGATCCACAACACTGGAACAAACACCATACAGAGTACATTAGTACACACACGTGACAGCCAATGCTAATCTCTTCTGGAAGTCTATGACTATTGATTGGTGTTCATTTAACCCATTTCTCTAATATAAACTGAAATCGATTTTCAGTAAACACTCTGGGGAGAGAAATTGTTACATATATATTTGAGGGCTGTCAGAGACTTATATCCCCTGTTGATTCTATCAGAGCTTTTAGAAATTCTACCTTGGGGTCAGCATTCTGGCATAGCCGGTAAAGCTACCACTTGCGATGCTGGCATCCCACATGGGCACCAGTTTGAGTCTCAGCTGCTCCACTTCCAGTCTAGCTCTATGCTAACACAGCTGGGAAAGAAGCTGAAGATGGCCTAAGGGCTTGGGCCTCTGCACCCCCATAGGAGACCCAGATGAGGTTCCTGGCTCTTGACTTTGGCCTGGGTCAGACCTGGCCATTGTAGTCATTTGGGAAATGAACCAGTGGATGGAAGATCTCTCTGTGCCCCAGCCCCGCCCCGCCCCGCCCCGTAACTCTGGCTTCCAAATAAATAAAGAGAACTTTACATATAAAAAAGATTCTTGCCACCATGATTTGAAAACTTAAATAAGCAATTTTCTTTTCAAAGGTTACTCTCAGAATTCAGAAGTTGCCTAGCAATGCAATAAAATTACTCAGGTTGAAAAAAAATCCAGTTATGTTTAAACTGAGTGTTTCTGATGATCAACATTACTTCAGACAGTTGACAGATCTAGGTCAGACAGTGAAAAGTACTATATTGAAAGCAAGGAAGGGATGAGAGAGATTACAGAAGCCAAGTGGAATAAGCAGAAGAATGCTAGGATTGTAGTACTTCAATCTATAAGTATAATAAATGGTTCAGATATTAAGACACTTGCTGATTGTTTGTTTCAATATTCAATTAGATTGAGACAGTGCTTTCCATTTCTCTACATAGGCACATGCAATCTGTCTGATACTCCTTGATATTCATATTTTTCTTTCTACCCCCAATTTCTTTAACTTAATAGAAACTGTGCCATCATCCATCAAGAAAGATGCAGAAAATGCAAATACTATGTTGGAATCCATTCCTAACTTGCCACAGGAGCTGACGGCAACACAATTTGAGAAGCAGCCATCAAAGCTGTATCTACAATACCTACCTACATTGAAGAAGTCAAATGTTAGTTTTGAAGAATTTAAGAAAATTATTCAGAATATACAAAGAGGAGTGGAAGGTAGCAGGGCTTCAGAATCGAATACTTTCTCCCGAAAAAAGAGACAGTTCTCTGAGAGTCTGCCTGAAGAATGTTGCAAATATGGTTGTCCCAGATATTATCTTCTTATGTATTGCTGAGATGGAGATAACTGTATAGATTTCACATAATTTTCATGTGTATTTCACATGTATTCTTGATATTTTCACTTATAATTCTGTCAGGATGCTACTGATTACTAGAATATAAGACCTCCACAGCTGAAGGTTTGTGCATTGTTCATTTTATAATAAATGGTATGTCTGTGCAGTGCTGGTATTGCTTTTGCTTTTTAAAGTATGACAAAATTTCCCTATAAAGAGACAGTTGGCAATGTATGCAGCTACAGCATAGATAGCTATTCAAATAGTACAATAAGGGACCAGTGCCTTGGCTCACTTGGTTCATCCTCTGCCTGCTGTGCCGGCATCCCATGTGGGCACCGGTTCTAGTCCCGGCTACTCCTCTTCCAGTCCAGCTCTCTGCTGTGGCACGGGAGTGCAGTGGAGGATGGCCCAGGTCCTTGGGCCCTGCACCCACATGGGAGACCAGCAAGAAGCACCTGGCTCCTGGCTTTGGATCGGTGCAGCGCCAGCTGTAGCAGCCATTAGGGGAGTGAACCAATGGAGGGAGGACCTTTCTCTCTCTCTCTCTCTCTCACTGTCTATATCTCTACCTGTGAAATAAATTTAAAAAAATAGCTATAATAACTCCTTAAGGTATACACTATATAAAAAGATGTAATTTGTACATCCAAAATATAAAATGGTGGCTGAAGGATGTGGAATAAAAGTATAGTTATTTTAAGGAATCAAATTTAAACTGCTATGAGTTTAACAGTCTACTGTAACTATATGATATTGTATGTGAGCCTCATAGTATTCATAAAACAAAAACTCATAGATATGCGTAGGATAAAAAGGAGCAAAGAACACAATTCAAAAAAAAAATCAAGCATCAAAACTATACTCAGATATGGCTCTGATATAGGCAGCCAGTATCACAAGTGGTGGCTTAACCCACTGCACCACAACATGGGCCCCTCTAAGGTTTATATGAAGAGGAAATATACCCAGAATATCCAACACAATATTGAAGGAGAACAAATCTAGAGAACTAACACAATCCAACTTTAAGACTTCTTATAAAATTACAGTAATCAAGACAGCATGGTATTGGTGAAAGAATATACAGATCCATGGAACAGAATAAGAACCCACAGTTTGATCCAGATCACTTCAGTCCATTGATCTCTGATTAAGGAGCAAAGTCAATATAATTGAGAAATGGTAGATCTCTAAAATAATGATTGGAACAAAATCTACATGCCAAAAAAATCTGGACACAGACTTTTCAACTTCCACAAAAATTAACCCAAAATTGATCATAAACCTTAATATAAAAGAGAAAAGTAACTCTGGATAATAATAGAATTTAGATGACTTGAGCTTAGTGATAAGCTTTTAGAGATAACACCAAAGGCACGATCCATGAGAGACAGAGTTAATAAACTAGACTTCATCAAAATTAAGAATTTCTGCACAGTAAACGATATTGAGAAGAGAATGAAAGGACAAGTTGCTGGCAGAAGTTAGGAAGGCGGCAGGGTTGAATAGAAGGAGCACAGAGGGTCTTTAGGGCAGCGACATTGTTCTGCATGGTGTAATAATGGGGGCCACATGTTAAATATTTGCCCAGACCTAAAGAAGATACAGGTAGGCAGGAACGGGAGCCAGCACTTCAGTGTGGTGAGCAAACAGCATCGAACTTGATGCCTGAAGTCTTTGCTTGGATGTCAGCACAGACCCTCACTAAGAAAATGATACCTGGAATTAAACATGACAATAGGTCTGATCTGATTTCATCATCATTTAAAAAAAAATCATCTATTATTTTTCACTTTATGTTTCTGTGTGGGAACAAACTGTTGAAATCCTTACTTAAGGTATACTAAGCTGATCTTCTGTATACTAAGATAATCGAAAATGAATCTTGATGTGAATGGAAGGGGAGAGGGAGTGGGAAAGGGGAGGGTGGTGGGTGGGAGGGACGGTATGGGGGGGAAAGCCATTGTAACCCATGAGACGTACTTTGGAAATTTATATTCATTAAATAAAAGATAAAAAAAAAAAAATCTCCCTAGGCTCTAGTCATGAGTTGCCAAGGCTATGGAAACCTCTTGAGTTTGCTGACTTCAATCTTATTTACACTAGGTCATAGTCAAAGTGCAAGTTCTCTCCTCCCTTCAGAGAAAGGTACCTCCTTCTTTGATGGCCCGTT